TGTGTGAGAGTGAGTCACACACAGAATCAGCCTCAGCTTCCAAGGTGGGGGGGTGGGGGAGGGGCTGTGGAAAAAGGTGTATATGACCCACAAACAGGCCATTGTTCCCTGGGCAGGTGGGGGCTGTGGCCGAAGGTGTAAGTGATCTGCAAACAAGCCATTGTTCCCCAGGGCCGGTTGGGGGCCATGGTGGAAGAGTGTGAATGACACACAAATCAGCCTCACAGGTGAACAGGCACCAGAGGGGACCAGATTCAGGGCCCTTCCCAGAGGCCAACCCCAAGGTGAGGGAGGGCCACACAGACCAGCAATTGTCTGGCAACAGGGATCCGCTTCATGTCCTGAGGATGTGAAAGAATCTGTGAAAGGAATGAGAAATAAAAGTGAGTAAATGTAGAGGAATGAAAGTATACATAACTTTAGCTTCACATTATCTCCTTGGAGGGAGGTGTATTGTATTGAATAATATTGTGAAAAAAGAGGCTTGTGTGTGTGTAGTTGGAAGAAAGTAGTATTCAGAGAAAGTGAGAAACAGAGGCAGGGAACGAATAGATAAGATCTTGAAAACTGGGACAGAAAACCAGTATGCTGGGTACAGGGAGAAAAAAAAAGGAGAAAAGACGGGGTATGCAGTAGTTGATGGGAAAAGCATGCAAACTATTGAAAAAGGGAAATTAGCCTTAAACTGGTAAGCTCAAACTTGTGATGTAAGATACTTTTTGTAACTAGCTCAATGAATGTATAATCAAGAAATCATTCACATAGAGATAGCAACAACAAGACACAAAAATTCCAAGAGAAGAATTATTGCCTCCTTATTGGGAAAATCCAGACTTCTCCCAGACTTTGAGGAGCCAAGAAATTGATTTATAAGATGGCGTGGGTGGGAGTGAGCAGAAATTAGGCAGAAAACACCCTTTGTTTGAAAGGAATGTTTGAATAATGTATGAGAGATATGAATATGCAACAGGCTGTTGCTTTTAAGGGTTAATCCTTTGTTAGCAAAGCATGCTTTTGTGGCAGAGTGCAAAAAGTAGCCAGACATATGTAATTCTTTGCTTTGTATTGTCTTTTATTGTCCTAACTTTGACTGTCCAAATTCTTATTGCCTGAATTTTTATTACTATTAAACTTCTAAAATTTTAACACAAGTGAATGGCGTTTTTCACAGTGCTGAATGAATACATACCTACTTTACAATTTCTACAAGTTGTGTCTTCCCATTAATAACTTCTCCCAGCTATGTTCGGGAATCCAGCTACCACTGCCCAGCCCTGCCACTGCTCTGTTTTTCACTACACTGTAACCCTGTACCTCCTGCCTGCCAGGACACCCCATCTCCTGCTACAGCTGAGGAGTTTCTGCTACATTTCATTTGCTACCCCAGGTGTGCCTGCCTCTGCCATTCCAGCTGCTGCTCCAAGGTTCCTGCTACAACCCATTTTGCCATCTGGAGGGGCACCGGGATTGGCTGCCCCTTTGAGTTTATAAGGAAGGGCCTTTTCTGTCTCTTCTGCCCATACACTGACCATTATCCATGTGGAGAGAGGCAGCTGGGCTCGTGCTGCATCACCCCTGCAGCCACGAGGGAATCATCGCACCTGACCTGCCAAGCTGAGAGCCAATAGTGCCCCTGCTGGCTGTGACCATAACTACATCAAAGGTTGTCAGAGACTGAAATATTATTGTTTATGAGTTAAACATTTTCATGAAGGAATTTTAAAACTGTATTACTAAAGCTGCAAAGAATACCACCAGACCCTGAGGCCCTGGACTGTTTGGTGATGAAGATAAGATAAAGTAACAACTCGGGATTGGGAACATTCACAAAGCACAAGCTTTGCACCTTCTGGGAGGAGACAGCAGCCCCAGGGCTATCAGCTGCCAGGCTTTGAAGAGACCCTTGCACCAAAGGGTGAGGGGAGAGCAGCTTTGGGTATGTGTTGGAAAGGCCTCTGGTTAGAGGCAGTGAACTCCCATCTCTAATGTGCAGAGGAGCTCAGCTATGGGGCCCTTCACCTGGAGAAGCTTATCTACAGCAGAAGGGGGTGTCATGGCCCACCAAAGGCCCCCCTCATGGAGTCCCCAGACCCTGCACCAGAGCACTGCAGCATGATGTAACAAACCCTCAGTGTTGCAAGGGACAGTGTCAAACTTGGCGCTCCAAACTAGCTCAAACTATTAATCTATACTCTTCAGTGTGTGGCAGCATGTGGCGCAGTGTGGTGTGGCACAGTGTGGCCACAGCGGGGGACCCTCACCACCAAGATGACCAGATGGAGGTGTGAAAAACAAGGTTCACTCTCCTAGTAGAATTTAAAAGTTTAATGAAGGACAAGAGGAGACAAAGACAATAAAGCAAAGATATACAGTTGGGTGCTTCTTGGTAGTCAGCCAAGAGCACACCTATTTTGGAATTACCCTTTATACACAATTTCTATTGCATCAGCCTGTTGCATATTCATAAACAAGTATGTATATTTAAACTTTCCCCCAAACTAGTTTACATGTTCCAAGAACTGTTTAGCGTGGCCCCTCCTCGGGTCTGCCTTTCTAGAGCATGTGCATTTCTTGGTTGTGGTTTTAGTCCATTCTTATCATCACCTCTAGTTTTTGGGCTTTGGTCCATACTGTCTTCAGACAGTGAGTGCTGATAGTTGGCATATCAGTAGCAGGGGTTCTTATCATATGTTCACTGGATATAATCCCAACCAAGCAGGCATTTTAACACAAGCATACTTATATAAACTATTTCACTACTATATCTAACAGAAATAAAACCTGTATGTTTTATAGCAAAGTTACTTTAACATTATACATATAGCATCCATTTTAATATTTGCAAAAAGCCAACAATATAATATATATCTATAACAGAGGGGAGTAATGAGACATTTTTGGGACCCTTGGAAGGGTGACATGCTTCTATCTAACCCCTGTCGCTCTCCGTGTTCCCCCGGTCCTTATGCACACTGCTTTCTCTATCTTTCTGTCTTTTTATTTTTGCCTCTTTAACTATTAAATAAAATATTATTTTTTTTTTGGCACCAACATCTAACCTCATTTGGCTTTAATCTCATTTTTGGGTATATTTCGAACCTTCCAAGGTCTTTCTGATTTATACACTGAGCTTTAGTTTTTCTTTGCTTTTCTGAGTCTAAACCAAAGATCACACCAAAGAGGAAAGTGCCTGACAGCTGAGAGAAGATTGTTATTTGGGTTTCTGTTTTTGTTAGTTGTTGCTGCCATTGTTGTTGTTTGTTTGCCTTGTTATTACATATTAGTAAAGAATTATTGTTCCTTTTTCCATATCTTTGCCTGAAAGCCCCTTAATTTCTAAGTTATAATAATTTGGATGGAAGGGGATCATATCAAGGGACTTTCCCGCCTTCCTTGGCTGACACTTTTTTACAAACCAAGACAACTCTCTTATCTTCCACTCCTCTGCAAAGCTATTAAACATACACAGGGTTTTGATTCTTCGGAAAACTAGGCATTTGCTATTTATTTTGTAACAACAATTTGTTTGGATTTCCATTGATAAAGTCCCCCCAAATGCCACCTTATACAGTAATATCTATATTGATATAATACAAAGATTCTGTGACGTTTATAAAGCCTTTTAAACCGTATTAGCAAAACTGTTTTGTTAAATTACATTTTCCAACTCATCACTCCTTATTATGGTATACAATTTAAAATGCCATGACACTATTTTGCTTCATTAAATATTTTAAATTATCTTGACAATGGCAGTGTAAGGAATGCTGCTACCCATATATTTTTATCCAAAGTAAAAGCTGACAAATACTTAGATCTCTTGAAATTATAGATTTTAAATATCAGTGATACAAAGTTTTAAAGTCATTAAATACCATAGGCCATCATAAAAGGCGGATCCAAGTTCTGAAATCCTTGTCCTGAATCATTTAAATGTGAATATCAAAGAATGGAAATCCACTATGAAATTACAGGGCTATTTATATAGACTGACATAAACTCATTTTATGGTATTATGCTTTTAAACGTCAATCGGAATGAACAGATACATTAAATTACTACCTAATGTAATGAATCAAAGTACCTTCAAAATAATAATTGTATGAAGAATAAGTTTCACAGACTCAGATATAATCAAAATCACTGTAGTCAGAGAAATTTATCCAAATCAAGGAACATTATTTTAAACACAAGTATGTTTAATACAAAAGAAAAATAGAGCAAAAATTTTCAACAACCAAAAAATAAGCTGAAAAAACATTTTGAAAATCAATTCTGCCACTCACTTTGCTTTTTCTGGGCACAGAAATTTTCACCAATTTCACACCAATTTTCAAATTTCAGTCAAAAATCCATTGTATGCCTTATGACTTCTCTAGTTTACCTCACTTTGAGAGACAATTTTTCAGAAAACATATTTCCAAGAGATGTATGGCAACTGTGTGATAGCATTAAATAAAAAAGGGGATGGCAGAACAATATATATATCACACTTCAAAAACATAGATATATCACTGTACAACAGCAGAAATCACTTTTTTGCAAGACCCTGGCCAGAGTTCTTCCCCTTCATACATTAATTCTAGACAGTTCTCAAGACATCACATCAATAGAAAAAGATGTAACTCACCCTTGCCTTGATGAAGCACATCGTCTGACCTAAAGTGCAATGATTCATCATTAAATCACTTTCAAATGAAACAATACCAACCTTCAAAGACATCATCATATAATGAGCTGTCTTTGTTGATTTTTTGACTAGCTACAGACTTTCTGCCTAGTAAACAATCTTTTGGGGAGGCTAATGAAGTGTAAGAAATTAAAGGCCAATCCAGTCAATATTTTTATGGATTTATTTTTTACAGTCTTTTAAAGTATGAAGATATGCAGCATTACAGACTCTTTCGGTATCAATTTCTGTCACCAAATCCACACCACAGATTTAATCTTAAAGAGATATCCTCTCAAAGATAAATGAAGTCAATTCATATCAGTCAGACCTGAAAGATGTTTTCACCAATGCTTCAGGGCTGTCCACTGGCAGTAGTTCATCTGCTAAAATTTCTTCAGGATGTCTAGGGTCATTGATAATGGTCAACTTTGGCCTTTCCTTGAAAGGAGGTTGCCCGTCAGCCCACCAATAATGGTGCTCCACAAGCAGTTCTGTGATTTAGACCCTGAACAAACAGAATGAGAAGGAAAATAAATTCATAGGCTTATTGCCCAGCATTTCAGAATTCTGAAAAACAAAGGTGGTCTGCTATCATTTTACCTTTGCATGACCACAGTTTGGGAATAAGCCTGAAAACCTAAATAAATAAATAAATAAAATAAAAATTCAAAGCATAAACATTAGGGTCATCCCAAATGCAAAACTGTAATGCTTCCTATCAAAATATTCTGTTACAGAACATGAGGCATTCACACCTGTCTTGGGTTTAAAGATATAGTTGGGGGTGTTTATTCTATTTCCCATCTGTTAATGGTGGGACAGTTATCTTCTGTTAAGTGGGCAGTTTACTTTATCTCTTCCACACACAATCCTCCCTCTGGGAACATATCTTCTGTTAATGGGCTGTTGAGTATCACTGTGTGAACTGATAAATTTACATCATCCAATTGTGAAATGCTCTGCCCAGGGCGAGAAGCCAAGTATTCCTACCTGGATATAATCTGGTATTTGGAACACCACAGGCAGCCTTTTCCCACTGGATTCCCAGAGGGACATCAGGCCCAACTACAGCACCACTGGATCTCCAGGGAAAACTACACCCTTCTACAGGAACATTGCTTTCAACAGAATCACATCTGTCACTCCAGGAGGACTGCAGCCACCATTTATTTAATCAGACTGCTACCAACACCCTGACCCACTGGGTGTCAGGTCATATTCTCACTCTGTCAGTGTTGTTTTGTATTACTGCATTTAAAAAAAAAAAATCTTCCCTAATAAAGAGCTGTTATTCCTACTCCCATGAGAGCCCCTTAATTTCAAAATTATAGTAATTCATAGGGAGAAGATTTACATTTTCCATTTCAGGGGAGGCTCCTGCCTTCCTTAGCAGACACCTGTCTATTCAAACTAAGTCAACACCTCAAAAAAAACATCCTCTCCACATCACACTTAGGTTGTTAACTTAGTATGTTTTGATGTGGGTCTTTAGCCAAATTGGTTAAAAAACAAAGTACCAAATCAATATAATACTCATCACTGACATTCTTCAGACTAGTTAGTAGTGGTTACATTATAGATAAAAGAGATAACTGCCAGATTAGTACCAGAAAATATATTTCTTTTCTCTCAAAACTTCAGCTTTTCACAGTAGATATTCAAATGCCAAAATATTTCTATGGATTTAAAAAAAAAATATTTAGAAGTGCCATTAAATTGCTCTTGCATGTCATTCAGAGAATCCATCCTTATCTGTAAGTCTAGATCTACTGACAAAGTACAAATTCCATCCTTCAGTCAGATGTCCACTCTGCTGCAGGAGAAGGGAATACGTGACTTAAATTTTTTTAAGTGTCTGTTTCACATTTTTAAATATTTCCAAAGAGATTCTAAATAACCAGGCACTTCTGAAAATCACAGCAATACTTCCATACTGTCATATTCTAATTTTCAAGTATTACAGAATGATACATGACTGAACTAGCAAACCAAATAACAGCTAGGTACTGAAATGCTGATTATTATTTCAGACTTCCCACAACAAAGGCGCAGCAAGCATTAATCTTACCACATTCCAAAGTAGTAATAAAACTCAACTCTGCTAGTAGTCATTCTCCACGGGCTTTATACCAATACGCAAAATTTTTTAAAAATCTGGAAAATAGGGTATCTCTGAAGTCAACAACTGATTTTAATTAGGTAAAATTTTCTAATATTTTCCCAGCTTCCAGATCAATTATCCAGTGGACCTAATACATGGATTAAGGGTTACTTTTTGATGCAATACACACTAAATACACAAGATGAAACCAATCAGAAGAGCTATTATCCCATGCATCAAGCCGTCTCTGTTCACTCCACTGCTTCACTCTTGACTCCAAGGCATTGCTTCCCCCTAAATACAGTCTCCAGGTCTCAGGAAAAAAATGGGTCTGTCCATGGCCATACAAGAAAGAGTCCAGCTCAAGGCCACTCCATCATCTCTTCCCACCTTTTTGATTCTTTTCACCTCTTTGGACATCTCTCACCTGCACCAGCTTTCCTCACACTTGCCCATTTCGTCATGCTTCATCTCTCTCTCCTCATTCTGATTCAGGACGATCAGTATTCGTAAGGTTTCCATCATTCTAGAAAGGGGTTAAAATCTTCGCCTCTGTCTGCCCAGAACTCCCACAGCTGCTAGGCACTTTTTTCACACTGCATCCCTCCCTTCTCCTTCTGGCCAGCCGTGCTGCCAGTCCATGATATCGAATTTCAAGGCAGCACAGGCACTGGCTCTCTCTCTCTATCTCTCTCCCAGGGGGTAGGCAGGGGAGGGGCCCAATGCTTCTCAGGGTTCCTCCACCCTTCCATCTTGCAAGGCCTTCACCCCCCTCCTCTGCCCAAGGCTCTGGCCTACCTCACCCAGCCACATGGCTTTCTCTCCCCCACCCAGCCCTGGCTGGGCAGGGGAGGTCTGACCTCCTTCATGGACCGGGACCAAGAGAGAGTTCTCCTGGGAGTTTTTGCTTTTAACCCTCTGTGTTCTCAGAGGCGGTCCATACCTTCAGTGGCCAAACCAGGTGCCAATATTCAAATCCAAGCACAGATTGGTTTGACTACAACCTCCCAAAAAACTCACTTCCTCCTTAACCTATGACACCCATGCTAGTGTTGTTTCCGAAATCAAAAATGCTAAACTTAAAATTTGTACAACAAAAATGCAAGAAGTTCCACCCTAAAAGTATCTAAAATAGAAAATAACTAAAAAGACAATTACACCACAAAAGATGCAACTCCAAACCAGTGTCAACAATCCACAAAATTTACAACAGCTTCTAAAAGAAATCAATTAATTTAAACCTGTTTTAAAAATTACCAATGATAAACTAAGTCCACTTTTCAATTTACTAAGAGAAAACTGGGACATCAACTCTTCTAAAACTCTAACACCTGAAGCTCGTGCAGTCCTTGACAAAGTCATAAAAGCTCTCCAAAGATGACAAACTCATCACTATATTCCAGAAAAGCCTTTCTTTTTTACAATTTTAAGAGAAAAAATGCAACTTTATAGTCTCATTTTTCAATATGACCCTTCCAAGAGAAGTCCTTTTTTATTAATAAAATAATAGGCCCCATCTGCAGAAGGGAAGCTGTTACAATACATAGATGATATCCTGATTGCTACCAAGAAAAAGGACACTTGACGGACATGGACAGTGTGTCTGCTAAACTTTTTGGAGCTCCAGAGATACTGGGTATCTAAGAAGAAGGCCCAAGTAATGCAGTGGGAGGTAATTTATCCGGGATATGAAATCAGTTCTGGACAAAGGACTCTGGGACAAGCCCAAAAAGATGCAATATGCCAAACCCTGAGGCCACAAGCAGTGAAAGAGTTACAAACCTTTTTGGGGATGACTGGGTGGTGCTTACTGTGGATCTATAACTATGGACTGGTGGTTAAACCCTTGTATGCCCTGACAACTACTGAACAATAAAATCTTCAATGGAACAAAGGAGCTATACAAGCCTTTGAGTCAGTAAAAAAGGCTCTGATGTTGGCTCCAGACTTGGGACTCCCAGATGTGAGTAAACCATTTTTACTCTTTTCCCCACAAGGAGCAGGGGATTGCCCCAGGAATATTAGCACAGGATCTGGGCCCATATTGCCGAGCAGTGGTTTACTTTTCCATATAACTGGAGGCAACTGCAAAAGGTTGGCCTGGATGTTTGTGAGTGGTCACAGCCATGGTACTAAACATCCAGGGGGCCCAAAAATTTCCCCTGGGCCAGAAAATGACTGTGCAAGTGTCTCATACAGTATCTGCAGTACTAGAAATGAAAGGTGGGCATTGGCTTTCCCCACAAAGATTTTTGAAATATCAGGCCACAATGGTAGAACAAGGTGATGTGGAAATCGTAGTAACAAACATTGTCAACCCAGCCTCTTTCCTCAGCAGAAAAACAGGGGAAAAAGTGCATAATGACTGTCTGGAAACCGTCAAAGCGATACATTTGAAGTGTCTGGACTTGAAAGGTAGTCCTGTGCAGAAAACGGAAAACTGGTTCACGGATGGAAGCAAGTAAGCAGTAAAAGACATGCTGGGTATGCCATCCCCATCAGCCAAGAAATAATAGAGTCAGGACCTTTGCCCATCAACACCTCTGCACAAAAGGCAGAGATAATTACTGTAACTCATACCTTCGAACTGGCCCAAGGCAAAACCGTAAATTTCTATACAGACTCAAAATATGCCTTTGGAGTCAATGTGCATGGAGCAATCTGGAAGGAAAGAGGACTATTAAATTCACAGGGCAAAAACATTAAACATGCAGAAGAGATTCTGAAACTGCTGGAGGCAGTCCAACTCCCTGAGAAAGTGGCAATCATGCACATCAAAGCACACCAAAAAGTAAGCTCGGAATTTGAAAAAAATTAGTTGGTGGACAAAGAGGCAAAACAGAAAGCCAAAGGAGAGGTAAAAACAGAAGGAGCTTTAATGCCTGACAGGCAAATCTCCCTAGAAGGTGAGCCAAACGTACCAAAGAGGATCAAAGCTTAATTTCAGACCTAGACGGGTTATATAATAAAGAAGGGTGGGCTCTCATCCCACAAGGGCAATTGATCATTCCCTCATATTTAGTATGACCTTCGGTTAGGGAAGAACACAAGAAAAGGCACTGGAGGCAGAAGTCCTATACCAGCACCTACTTAGAGAGATTATAGCTAGAAATTTATATGCCACTGTGAAACAGGTGATTCGGCAATGTGATCTTTGTCTCCAGACTAATCCCAAAAATACCAAAATAAAATTGGGACAAACTGGGAAAGACAATGGGCCTTGGACACCAGGGGCAGATTGATTTTATGTAACTCCCAAGAAAAGTGGGGTACAGATATTTACTGGTACTAACTGATACCTTTTCAGATTGACCAGAAGCATTCCCTACCAGAACAGCCAAGGCTTGGGAGGTAACTAGAAAACTAATACAAGAAATAATACCGTGCTTTGGAGTTCCAGCAAC